TTAGGTGTATGTGGCTGGCGCCTTAGCCACTTGAGCCACAGGCGCTGAGCCAGTATAGTGTAATTTTAAAATGCATTTTGCAATGTCTCAAAAACTCTAACAAAAGTGTGTGGGTCTGTATGTGACTGTGTGAGTATGAGTCAGGGATGGTCCTCATGTATGTCGATGTGAGTCAAGCCAGTCTGTTGGTGTGTGTGATGGTATAGTGTGTCAAGATGAGTGTGTGTGAGTTCTTGTGTGTCCATGTGTCAGTTGGCTGCAACTAAGGGGGAGTGGAATTTGTCTCACAAATGGAGGGTTGGCAATATTTGTGTCAACATTTCCAAGATTGTTTCTATGCCTTTTTTGTTTGTTTGTTTTTGTTTTTTAGAGACAGAGTCTCACTTTGTTGCCCTTGATAGAGTGCTGTGGCATCACAGCTCACAGCAACCTTCAACTCTTGAGCTTAGGTGATTCTCTTGCCTCAGCCTCCTGAGTAGCTGGGACTACAGGGCCTGCCACAATGCCCGGCTATTTTTTTGTTGTAGTTTGGCCAGGGCCAGGTTCGAACCTGCCACCCTCAGTATATGAGCCAGTGCCCTACTCACTGAGCCACAGGCGTCACCCTGTTTCCATGCCTTAATGTGTGCATGATTGCATGTCCAAAAACACCAGCAGATCAACCATGTTTGTGACAACTTACATGTCACTGACTTATGGATGATTGTGTCCCACTGTTGAGACACATGTGGTTGTGTGTGACACACCGTGTCTGTCTATGTGTGATTACAGGTTTCACTACCAATATCTATGACTATATGAGTATGACTCCACATGTGCATAACTATGTTTATGACAAAACCCTGTATTTCTCTGTGTGATCCTATGTCCCAGAAATGATATACTGGATCTGACCATACTAATTCTGGGATCTTCAATGTTATGGGACTCTGTGTGGTGGTATCCAACCATTAATGTGTGTTTAAAAACCCCATGTGTCTCTGGCATATATTGGTATGATTGTCACCTGCTGTTGTGTCAGTGACAGAATATGACACTGTGTGTATGTGATGGTGTCTCATTATTGCTGATTCTGGGACTGTGTCCAGCCATCCATGTGTGAGTCTGTGTCTACATTTGTATGATTATACACATGACCATAGTGGGCGCTATGACTTGTCT